CCAACGATACTTAATGAAGTCGAATGCATGGCGCATCCCTCAGAGATTGATCAACGCCGAGAGCTTTATCCTTTATCCTTTATCTGCCCTTTCGGAAACGTTCGAATCAGGGAGTCTAATAGTTCAATGCACACTCACGATTATGAAAGATATGAAGGGCACTTTGGCAGTTACTTCAGAACAATTGAAGAAAGTAGCTTAATCGACAAAATTTTGACGACAGTTCTTAAATGTGTATTGGTCTACTTCGCTACACGTGATGCGAAGAGTGGTGCCCAAGTCATCGACAAGCCATCGAATGGATATCGTAGCGTCAAAGATGGCTACTCAGTCTGAAAGTCTTCTGAACAACTAAATTACTGGGGAAAGGAAAAAGCGAGTGAGTAAGTACCGCATATGATCTCACTGATGCACCCCTGTTGGAGAAATCTTCACGTTACTTTGTTAGCCAATTAGCAATTAACGACTCGACCAGTATCTCTACGCTTGAAAAGATGTGGAACAATGGCAAATTTGTACTGATCATCGTTTACGCTGACATGACGCTATGAATAAAACATCAGTTCTGCAAAGAACTGTGCACCTTCGAGAAGGTTCAAAACGAAGATTGGCCTTAGGAGAACATGTAAGAAATTTGAGACCTAGACTCACGGATTGGAATGCAGTGAATAAAGTAAATGGCTGTTTCCGAGTTCATAATGACGGCTGGTAATTTGTAATTTCAGAAGCCTTTCTCAAATGTTGGTTAGTTCCAATGGAAATTTTCGTGAAGGAATAACCACTTCAGAGTAAAATTCTGTGCTTGACAACGTTAATAAGGAATATACAGTGGAATATGAATGAGGAACAATGTGCAACAATTTCACGATATCGCTAAAAAGGCCTAGCGCTCAGCAATACGCAAAGGACGTCTATCACCAGGAGCTTTCTACTCATACACCTAACTGGGATTGTCCAAGCAGTGGGAAACCACTTAGTTACGTCTAAACTTGAAGAAATCGACAAAGAAATGGTGGAAGATCTCAAGGAGTAGCAATGCAAGCTGAAGCTGGAAACATGGGTGAAGATCGGCAATTGACTAGATGACGATGACCGTCCTTCACCCAAAAAGAAAAGTCAACAGTTTTAGAATGGCAGCGAAAAAATAATCTACGACATTTTTGCAGATCTTTCTGAGAACCACATCAACTAATTCTCATATTAAATCAAGAAGAATGGTTATGTTGTCTTGGGTGTTTCCTAGACCGAACTTCTACAAGCGCTACTCTGTTCAGAACCGAGCAGCACTCACACCGGACAGAATTAGACGGGAACATCTGAAGAACCTGCAGCAAATCCTTTTAGACACGCCGACTCGATTCGTCCCACATAATCTACTAGAATACCCAGATTTCCATTCATCGAATGAGAACACCGTATTGTTGGACAAGAAATGAAGTTGGTGATTTAGAAGTTCTTTCTTCGGTCAATTTAGGCAGAATTCACAGAAGGAAAAAGAGCCATGTGAACAGGAACGGTTTCTAGAAAGATCCAACGCGATGGTTTGTATCCACACTGTAACGAAGTTCACCAAAAAATTGAGTTAGTAATGATTTTTTCATTGCCATAAATAAAGGTCACTCGGCATATAAGATTGTAGAAGCTCTCGACAATTAGGGCGTAGACCACAGACATTCTTAATGAGTTACATAACTTACTTGCATACTTTGCTCTGCGTGTATTGTTGGTACGGGCCACAGCACACTTTCCATTCGTTTCTCCTTCGCGCTAGCCTCGCCAATGATATTGGTCTGCTCCGAACATGGTGATGTTCGTTTGGGCCATAGTCCTGAAGTCGTTACCATCTGCGAACTCTGATGGTTGACGGTAGCCACGAACGCGTCCGCTCATCGTTTAGGTGATCGTCCAAGAAGACGCTTCCATTCTCTTCTAGAGTCCAATTCACTGCTGTTTTCGTATATCTATCATGCATTCCACCTATTATATAAGCGGCTCATCTGCGTTTCCCTGTTGATGTACATTCTAGCGGATCCCCGAGATGTGATAGGTTTCGACGATCTGAGAAGCGCATACCGGCCAGACTTTCTGAGTGTCGGTTAAATTTCGGAAGACATCGTTCGAGCGCTTTGTAGGTGGTGCGCAGAATTCTTGACATTGTTGAAGTATCAGCCCACATCTGTGCTGCATAACAGAGTGCTAAGAGGACTGTTGAGTTAAAAAGATGGAGCGTGGGGTTTTGAGTCCTTTAATTGGTTGGCCGGTTTATTAAGTGGCCACAATGCGGCCCATGCTGCTCTCCTTCCTCTGTCTCATTGTTCTTTAATATTGTTTTCCATGTTCATTAAACCTCCAGGGTACATGTATCAGGTGATCTCTAAAATTAGAGAACCGTGCAATTTAATCTGTAGACCTTCATATCATTGGGTTTCTCATGAACTGGGTCTTCGTACTCATGCGCACTGCGATCATTTTCCAATTTAGTTGAGGTCAGTGATCATCGCCTCTACTCCGCTAATACTTCTTGAAAAGGTGACTATGTCAAAAAAAAATTTGATTTGAATCTTCTATCAAAACGTAAGCCTTTTTCATCCATTCGAGCGACTTTATCCATTACAATGTGGCAGTTAACGATTAAGCTTCAAATTCTCGTCAAACACGAATTATCTACCTCTTCTTGGAGGATGTGTTCTTCTCAGGCCTATGGCAGAATCGAATTTTGCAAGAAAGAGGCGATCGGTCCCAATATAGAATCCAGGAACCACTGGGTTGTCAAACGAGCGCGTTCCTCTGTTCGTGAAAATATCGTTGATCGTCATGAGTGATGGCGTTGGGAGACTCGCATGTGCATCGGTCACTTTCTCTTTTGTCGAAAAATGCACTTCCATGGAAGAGACATGATGCCCAAAAAAGTCCTACAACAGCTGCCATTCTCGTCTTGATTTCCGATTCTAAAATTTTCTATCCTGTATTCGTTTTTGTTGGCCACTTCTCATCTAGAATTCAAGTGCCCAACAAAGAATTTGTAAAGAGGCATCCCTATACGGATTACTTCCACAAACTTGTTGTACAGCGTGTCCAGTTCTCTCCTAACAGGTGTACAAGTTGGTGAGTAGCAGTTGATTAAACTGACTTTCTTATGATGTGGAAGCTGGGGAAGAAGGATAGTCAACTGCGGTTACAGGGTTTCATATGAGGTGACTGGATGGGAAATAGATGGGTTTACAACAGAGCGGACGCACCCGACATTTTGTAGCGCAAATTTTCCATCGCCCATGGCAAGGGTCCCGTCATTTTATTGGTGTATATCGATGTCCCTGCTTTTTTCTTGAAGAGCAATCAAATGGAATTTAATGCGAAGAGCGGACTCAAAAAGAGCGTAAGGATAGGCATCTGAAGAGGCTGTTCTGGTGTCATAGGTGCAGAGCTGGAAGCAATCTCCATGGCGTCGTGGGCGTTCTCGTTTTGCTGGTTTCCAATGAGTAATATAACACTTTCATTTGATCTTCGCCATTATACAACGACACTTCGTTGAAATAGAAAGATTTGCCCAAAAGCGCGATACTATCTTCCAAAAATTGTTTGCTACTACTCTCGATAAGGTTAAATGAAAACTGAAAGCGAAGAAAAATCCGACAGTCCGTAGCTACACCACCTTCACTTTACTATTAACATCGCTCTGATGACATCAAAAATTGGCTATGCTGAACGAATGATGGCTTACTTTCTCTGAATTTGTGGAAAAATGGTCATCAGCTGAATCTCAACGAGATGATGTTATCATCAACGAGTTATTGATATGGGTGATAGTCAAGAGGTTAATATGATGAATAACGTAACTCTAGAGCTTAGCACTAGGAAGCGAGTGGTATGGAGAACACATGTGGAACATAGAAGAAGTGATGATGATGATAAAGAAGGTATTGCATCTATCTCTCCGACTTTATGCTTCCGTAGTAACGTTAATGAACGCTTCGAAAAAATGCACTCTATCTAGTCAGAATAAAGTGACGGTTGACGTCACTGGTAGTGCACTCGCAAGGATAAGAAAATGCCGAATGCGTCTGTCGAATACAACCGCTTGACAAGAGCTCAACTGGAATGTATAGCGCATAATAGGAGAGTTATCAATCCGATGTGCAGACTTCCCAATGATCCTGGGAGAAAATGTGATGCAGTGTGTCTCGCAGAAACTAGGAGAGAACGGGTCTCTCTGGCTTGCGACAGGGACAAATGCCTGCTATCATCTATTGAAGTCATTTAACCACCCAAGGTGAAGAGGTGGTGCATGCGACAGTTTTTGAATTGTGCTATACATTGTAATGAATTATTGTTGCTGATATAGCTCAAGTACGAAAGAGTATTGTCAACAGAATATCATCTTAAAGTGCGAATAGTCTAAAACTATAAAGAGTTGTTAAACTTGGTTCGAACGAACAACTTCTCTTCACCTAGTGATTTGATAAGAACGAACTGCAGACTTGAAGGTAAAGGTTTCAGTGGAATAAGATTATTGCAGCGTGAACTTTTCAGCAGAAATCGGTTCTATCTCGTGGTAAATTTGTGTTAGAAGTAATAAAAGCATAAGAGATAAAGCTCTCTGCGTTCTCAATCCTTGAGGGATGCGGCGTGCATTTAACTCCAGTAAGCATCGATAGAAATGAATTACTGCTTATCTGCCTTATACGACTCACGGTGGCCTACTAATGTATCGAGTCAGTGCTGCTATCCTCTCAGTCATGTTTGCTACCAATCTGCTGACCCCCGAGAGATGGAAAGCATGGTGAACCTCGGGTGCGGGATCGAACCGAAGTGTATAGCAGGGTGCCTCTAACAGCACTTCACGCGCCACGTTAGAGGTGAGTAGTAGAATAAGACTTTATGTTTAAGATCTCATTCGTTTGCTTGTTGATAGAATAACAAAAAAGCAGCTATTTTTATCTGACATTATAGAAAACATAAGAAGTTGTGAGGTCTGGATAGTAAAATACCACTCTAGAGGGTTACAGACCTGAGATAGCAAAACCGGAGCAGCCGACGGCCAGAACGAGCGCCAGTACCGCTGTCGACTCTTTGTTAGTGTAGGCAACGATAAGTAAAAATAATGCCTCTCCTCCGAATCCTAAAGGATAAATAGTCCGTTCCAAATTTCACTTTGAGCTTCAGGATAACCCAGTAAAGGTTTTACTGGGAAGAAAAATGAAGAAGATCTAACGATCACCTCCGCAATTGAACAGCTTTCTGACGGCAGTGGTAGAAAGGTACTTGTTGGATCGTAAGTAGTCGGCTAGTTGTCCGCCCACCAAAACAACCAAACCCATCACAGCGTGAGGTAGTGCAGCAAGAATCCCCGACTGAATAGTGACGCCATCAAGATTGCTAGTACCTCTGCTGACAAAGTGTTCATGGAATCACAATCCGTAACGTTTTATTTATTAACTGTCATTATGTGAAATATAACCACAACGATGCCGAGATATTTGAAAAACTCAGTCTCTAGACCAGGTCCGAGCCTTGACTACCCTTTCCAGGAGCCCATGTGTTCTCTCAGCCCGATTTTTAAGCTAATAGTGTCAACAACAATCACCTGTCAAGGGAAATGGTCTGGAAAGCACAAATTGGCATTGAACCTAGGTAAGCTGAGGCTGGATTCAAGACCACAGTGTATAACATTTTATCCATTTCCTCTTATTTTTTCATGAAACAGTATTTCGTGAAATGCAACCATAATGATGCTGAGGTATTTGCAAAAACCGGACCCCACCCCATATTCGAACCCATGATTATAGTTTCTGGGTGCTTACATGTTACCCACTGCGCCATCGATGCCCTTGGATTGGCGATCTTTCAGCCAGGTTCTGATAGCACCGTAAGGATAAAAAACTGGCTGAGAGAACGTCAAAGCGAGGTCCTTAGTTCTGCAATGAGTAACACGTGAGCTCCTGGAAAGTCGCGGGAACGATTCTCGACTGGGAGCTGAGTTTTACGAATACCTCAGCATCGTTGTGATTGTACAATGAAATGTTCGCATGGAAGGCAGCAACAGCAACAGTTGCGCACCTTCAACGAAATGCTCAATAAAATATAAGAATTCTCGCACTAAGGTGGTCATCGGTTCCGCTTTTTATAATTGTGGTGTAATTCTTTGCCTAAGGGTATCATCGTAAACGGCAATACCACATTTCACTATGGCACACGCCTACAACAATTCAGGAAATTATAGAAGTCACCTTTTCGCAACTTAAAAAGGATAAAGGATAAAGCTCTCGGCGTTTATCAATCCCTGAGGGATGCGCCATGCTTTCGACTTCATTAGGCATCGTTTGGAGGTAATTGAGCGCATATCTGGCCTTTACAACGACTTGCGGTTGCTATCGATGTATCGAGCCAGTGCCGCTATCCTCCCACAGCCCTGTCTCCCACGCCCATGCATAAATACTGTCAAAATCGCATGATGAAAAACAATTGCCGGCCAGGATGTTGAGACGTTCAGACGAGTTATAAATTTAGCTATTAGTGATTAAAAATCCACTTTCATGGGAATGCCTGCTTTAACCTATTTTCACGTGAAAGCCGTGCTATTATAAATTATAATTATAAATTAAATAAATAAATAAAAATTAATTATAATTATTAAATTATAAATTATAATTATTACAATACTATTATAAATTCACTCACATGACTAATGTTCATATCAAGGGCTTCTTTCATATATGTAAGCTGATTCTGCAGAAGAAGGTAGAAGGTCCAACTTCTCGCGAAGTTCGCCACGATGATGGCCCACACCGGCTTCGATGTCATAATGGCTTTCCACGGAATAGACGAGAACTAAATACTCCATTCAATGAGATCGATCGCCTATTTTCTCTTAAATGAGAAAACCCTTCAAAAAGCATGAACGGTTCGTAACACTTACAGCTATGATATAACTAGCAGTCCACTTTTGCCAAATAACTTTCGATAGTTATACGTTTAATTTACTTCAAACAATTCTCAGCTGTTTCTCAACGATTGATAGTTGTTGTATATTTGTGATTGTTGAACTGATATAGACTCTTTATACATCCTACCTTGTATGGCTTGCTGGTAATGGGAAAAGGACTCACATTAGGGTGGGTGTTGCAGACGTGGCCGATGGCGTCCTCGATGAACTTCTTTTCTTCTTGTGAAATTGTCGGATGAAAAGCCGGTTTCTCGAACGTTAAAGAAAACCAGAAGATAGCCCATATGCAGCCAGCGAAACCTGATAAAGCACAATTCCATTAGAAGCCCGTTCTCTTAGTTATGGTCATGACGAAGAGCTACTGCAGCAACGATGGTCGAATGTGCTAATCAAAAAATGTGTTGTTTTCACAGTGGCTTGAAAGATTTGAGTGAAATGTCGAATCATAAAATTTACTGGATTATTTTGATAATTTAAATATGAATCCACGATTTGAATATCCACCAACAATATTAGAAATGCGACGAACCGTAAAGGTAGAACGGAGCACTCCAGCTCACATAAGAAACAAGAAAGGCGGACACCGGCAGACCAAGCACTGCACCTGCGTAGGAGCCGGTGAAGGCCGTAGTCGCCAGCTTGGACCTCTCCAGAGGAGGCGCCCAGTACCGCCAGACGCCATGCATGGACGGATAAGCGACTCCCTGAGCAGAAGACGTTCAATGACTTGCACTGCTGATATTCTTTAAAACACTAGTGCGCTCTGGCATAGGAACGAATACGCTACGTGGCCGACCTGTCCACTTTTGGTTAACTACGTTGGGCACACCTCGCCGTAGGTTTAAAAATGTTGTATATATTCTTTATGACTGGACTGCTACGACTAAGATGTTCTATAGGGAATTTGAGCACTTTTGTGGGATCTACGTTCCACTATACCTAATTTCTCTTTTAAAAAATGACGCGTTTTAATAACGAAATGCAGAAAAAAATTCAGTGAAACGACCACAATTAAATGAGGATCAGAAAGAAAATGAAGTGATTAAACCTATTTGACGATTTTCAACGAAGAAGTCCAGAAAATTAAGGAGAAAATAAGAATAGCCTTGCAGAGTTTTGGCTCAGAAGAAAGAAGCATGAAGCCTTTCCAATAACAACAACGTAGTCTGTAATTGCCCGTATTTTCATGTGTGTACATCTACGACATCTCAGACAGAGATTCCAATGTCTAGTGAACATTCCACTACATGCAACTATTTCTTACGGATTTTTCAAAGACCACACGTATCATTGATGCCACTACCGACCTGGACGAGTCCTTGACAGATTTGAATCACCGCTACCATCGTGTCACTCTTTGAATTGAAGCCATGAGGCAGAAGCAAGTTCAGGAATGACGCCACTCCGATCGCAATACCAAACAACCTGGCAGAAAACAGTTCAAGTAGCACCTTGGAGTAAAGAATTTAGAAACATATGGGGTTCTAGAAGCTTAATTCAAAGCGCATTTGTTTGGTAAGTAATATCGTATTCCTATTCTTCAACATATTTGTGTCGACGTGACCTCTCTACGAGTCATAACTATGGAAAGATTGTGGTCAGTATGACCTCTATAGAGGTCGTTTCCTTTCTTATGGTTTATTTCAGCATACAAAGGATGAGTTGGCTGACGTTGACTGCGAAATGGTTTACTTTGCACTTAGAAATATGCAGAAACCTCCTCTCGAAAAGGTTCGTTCACTGGTGTAATTTGAATGGCAAGTGAGTGTTATCCGAATTCTAATCGATATGGTAGATTATAGTTGCCGCAAAAATTAAACGGTTGTGAAGAAAAGTGCAGGAGTAATCTCAATAGCTTGAAGCTGCAATACACTCCCAATTTCTGATAGCAACATGTTCGTATTAGTATTAAAGTAGGGCAACTGTTGGCACACATAACACCCACATCCACGGAACGATGGAGTAAAGCCTCCTCTATAACTCTGTCATGTTCTCAGCCCTTTAAGCCCTCTAGTAAACAAGAAGCCATCACCTACTGTCGGAAATGTCCGTATGGCTAAAAATTAGGCATAGTCCCACTCTGGACCAAACAGGAATTAAGCGTCGTTGCAAATGTGTAGATAAAGAATCAAGAAAAATGAGCTTGATATTTTCAAGCTTTCATCTCTGTTAAGTGATTAGTCAGCAGGCATTTTTGCGCTAAGAATAGAACATCCAGCGTCTCATCGCCTTTTCAAAATTACGTGGTAGAGACATGCTATATAGTTAACACTTGCTTAGATCATCTCACTTGTTTGGTGGGTATCTTGCAGCAAGAAATCCTGCCGGGATTTGCGTGATGAGGTAGCCATAGAAGAACGAGCTCTCCATCACGCTCAGCTCTGCTCGAGTCCAGTTGAAGTCATGCACCTGAAATCTTCCCATTCTGATCAGCAATTCATGAGATCGATAGTCTGAGGTCAAATGTTCGTACATTAACTTTGGGCTGATCCACCTCGGTCAAATAAAGCTGGTCATTCAAGAGTGAACTGATTACTAGAGGTGTTTTAAGTAAAAAGTTCTTGACATCAGCAAGATTTCCACACTAATTCTGCCAGTTAAAGCCATATTGACAGCCTCAGGGATTCTACCGGTGCGGCACATTTGTGCTTTTGCTTGTGCTTAAAACAAAAACACTATGCTAATGAACTTCTTGCCCAAAGCAGCTAATATATATATTTTAATACAATACCAAATATCATTGTAATCTTAAAATTCTGTTTAAGAAATTGTCCACGCTCCATGTTCCTTCTTCAATTTTCTTTTTGTTCTCTGATATTTGTACTTCCTTCCAACGGCTTACCGTCTCAACGTGGCTGGGAGGTGTTCCTGGGTGTCGGACTGCGATGTACAGCGGGGGATTCGTCCCCTTGGCAGGGTCTCCCAAGCTGAGAATGAGTCCGGCGTTTCCTTCAGAAAGCCTAGCTAAGAGTAAACCAATACCAGGATCCACCACCGTCTTGGTATCAAAGTCGTATGGTGGTAAATCTCCCTCTGATTCACAAGGGCTGCACCTGCCCGTGGTGGTGAAGGCCTGGGGCAGACTTTGGCTAGGCTGACCTCGGCATTCTAGGGAACCACAATGGCTCAACCAGCATATATCCGAGAAATGGTGATTATGCTGGGGTTCGCACAACCAGTGAGGACGGGTCGTTCAGGTATCAAGTAGGAAATTTGTCCTTTCGAACCATTCATGTTAAACGTTTTCCTCAACATCACAAAGCTTCTACGACTCAACGTAATTTTTGGATAAGCGTTTTTCCAACATCCATTCATTCATTAGTTAGCATAGCAGTCCTGACTAGTGCTATCGATGCATGAAGGGTTCATGAACGACGAAGATCGCTAGAGTGGAAGTGCATTTCTTGTCAATAAAAATCGAAAGTGCGACGCCAGTCCGTATGGTGCTCTTCGGCAAACTTCTCTTTCTATATGTAAGTAAGGTGTTGAGCTAAAATAAACACGACAATACCACTTGCGTCACTTATAGTCTCGTTAGCCTCGATTAATCCTTATCGTGATTCACAACAGCCTTGTATATCTCTACATATATTGTGTCAGTCATTTCTATCTCTTGCTTCTCTCGTCTACGATATTGGCACGCATCGTCCATGTGATTTTCTATGTCTATTAGACATGGATCCACAAATCGCTTCCAGTTGCGCATATATCTTCTTGGTGTCAGTCCCAAACACTTTTAGTGTTCGTCTTAGAAGATGTCTACGTTGCCCTGGAATTTCCACCACTGTTGTCCTCGTTCATGCTATTTGTTATTCCAAAATCTAGTCCAATTTTGGCTCATTCGCGATACATATTCCCACTGACTTCAAGGACAGAATTTATCTCGAATGAATGAACTACGAAACATTGACTGGTGCCGTGGTGCTGGTAATATTTCAACGAACAGTACTCAATTATTCTTAGCGCTGGCAAGCGAGATTCCTTACGTGTTTACCGTATAAGCTCACATCTCCTCTATTCTCGAAAACCTCTGAACTACCTTTTGTCAGAGGTTTGTAACATATTGGTTTGTTCGCTAGCGTACCGTCCGTTTCCATGTTTTGGATTTTTTGCTAGTTTATTCGCAGTCCTGTCTTTTTTCTTTGAGTCTTTTGAGAATCGTCCTTGCTTCACTGGCAGTATTAGAAAGGTATCGATTGTCGACATAATATAAGACTGATAAAAGATTAAGATCTGTGTGTGTGTGTGCCCTCTCCATTCCAAAGGGAGTTTGTTATGCGCTGCAAGACAGTGGTGAACAGCCTTGGCAATGTAGTGTCCTCCTGTTGGATAACTTCCATTTCGAATTTGTCCTTCCAAGGAAGTGCTTGATAGAAGAGCTAAACTGTTGTGCAGCAGTTGCGATAACAAGTAGATGAACCTGTTATAAAGGAAGGTTCACTTCTTGGTCAAGGAGTACTGGCAAATGGCCTCGCTTCGAAGATTTAGTCGGATTCGTTTCTGCATTCTACAAAGGTAAGGATAAAACGTAGTTAAGATATGAATGATAGCGGCATTGTGAAGAACTTGTAGAACAGCACACTTAATGAGAAAATCAGCTAGTTGTTATAAGGATTCTTCCAGTTATCGTTTTTTGCAAATTGACCATAGCGAGGTCGTCCACCAATCTAGGAGTTTTGCTTCCTGAAGATATGATGCCATAGGGATTGTGAGAAGTTCGTGTACCTTAGAAGACTCATCAGTACTACGAGGTAACTCTGATAATGTTTAGTCCATCGGCTGCGCTTATCTTGATGCGATTTTTCGCTACTCGGATTTCAGAATGTAGATTCCAGTGTGTCGGAATTGTTTTTCTCTAACCGCCACTTTAAGTCTAGGGGCGAAGACATCGGAGTGAAAAATATGGCAGCAGAACTTTTGCGTTATAATGTTTAACGTTTTGTTTTCTGCCTTCTATAATTTTCATGGCAGGTTACTAAGCGAAATACAACCACAACGTTGCTGAGATATTTGCAAAACTCTGGACCGCAGGTGTCTATGGTGGGGAACGAACGCGCTATTATCCTTTCCGGGGAGTAACGCGTTCACCACCACACCATGCGGGTCCTTTGTTTCGCACGTCTCTCAGCTATTTCTATCGATCTTTTTGCCACAGCAATCACCCGTCAGCGGGGTTGATCTGGGGAGCGCAAATCGGCATAGAACCCAGTTAAGCTATGGCTGTAGTTGAAATCACAATGTTTAAGGTTTTGTTTTCTGCCTTCTATAATTTTCATGGCAGGTTACTAAGCGAAATACAACCACAACGTTGCTGAGATATTGGTTGTGGTTGTATTTCGCTTAGTAACCTGCCATTATTTGCCATTTTGAAAATTATAGAAGGCAGAAAACAAAACCTTAAACATTGTGATTTCAACTACAGCCATAGCTTAACTGGGTTCTATGCCGATTTGCGCTCCCCAGATCAACCCCGCTGACGGGTGATTGCTGTGGCAAAAAGATCGATAGAAATAGCTGAGAGACGTGCGAAACAAAGGACCCGCATGGTGTGGTGGTGAACGCGTTACTCCCCGGAAAGGATAATAGCGCGTTCGTTCCCCACCATAGACACCTGCGGTCCAGAGTTTTGCAAATATCTCAGCAACGTTGTGGTTGTATTTTGCGTTATATTTTCCTTACACATGTTGTAAGTAATGGTAGTCCCATCTACGTTCATAAGAGCTGATGGTGAGACAAGATTATACTTGCATAACTCTGAACGGTATGTTAAGGCTACTCCTCACTTGATTCAATTCGTATCCATCAAATATGGCGTTTAATCTAGTCCTCACTGAAGTAAGAGCAGGACGTATACCCGCAAACTTCATTTAGCGAATGCCATCTCAATCGACAGCTAGAGCTTTAGAATGTGTTTCTGTCGTTATTCGTTTTTCATGCTTGCCCATGAATAAGCATGTGTGAACAGTTCTGAAGTATCAAGTCGAAATCAGTCATCCGTCCGTGGGATTTACTTCTGACGCAATGACAAATTTCAGGAATTGCTATGCAGCACCAATCTATATCGAAAATTTGTATAAAATAAGCATGTGTTGCGACTCTCTGAATTGTCGCAACACGCCACTTTTCGAACTCTCCGATCACTGTCGCTGCGTTTCCGAATGGGCCAACGAATTTCGATGGCCAACGGATGGAAGCTTTCGCGACTCTATTCTCCACCATCATCCGAAAGGTTTATTGCCTCTTTGTGGCTGGAAGGTGTTAATGGGTGTATGACTGCGATGTGCAGCGCGGGATCTCCGGTTGGGTCTCCCAGGCTGAGGTAGGAGTCCGAAGTTTCCATCACGGAACAAAGCTAAGAGTAGACCAATGCGAGGGTGCACCACTGTCCTGGTATGAAACTAGTCGCATGGTAGCAAATCTTCCTTGATCCACAAGGACGGCGACCGTTAGTGGTGGTGACGACCTGGGACAGATTTTGACCATGCTAGAGAAATACAATGGCTTAACCAGCAAAACTCCGAAGAACGGAGATTATGCTGGAGCCGGTACAACCAGTTCCCTGCCATGAGTAAGTGTCTTACCATTCCATTACAGGCAACACTGTCGTCTGCGTAATCGCCAGTTCCAATGTGTGAGCCCTTGGATAAGATCATGACAAGAATAGCTCTTAGTATAATATTTTTAGTTCATTGTCCTCATTAGTGACGATTAGCTATAAAGAGTATGAAGAGATATTTCGAATGTTTCAACGTTGGAAAGTGTTCATTTTAGAAATTTGGAATGAATCTACAGCTGAGTGTACAGATATCTAACTCAGCGCGAGCTTGATGATGTTACTGAGCTGTTACTAAGTCTTATGACTATTTGATGGTCCAGAAAATGCAAAACTGCGGCAAAAATTGCTTTGCGAAATTATCACTACTGTGTTATTTTGTTAACTCTGTTTATCTTCAATGGTTACGGTGTAGCAATTGATAGTTTAGGCTGGTCAGTGACACTGACAAAATGACACCGTGATGAATATCACAGACAAGAACGAGATCATGTTGTTCTTCATGGAGAAAGAAAGCCTGTAAATAAATATAACTCACATGATGGCCTCCCCATGGGTCAGTGTAGTTCTTGAACATGTGATTTTTGGCGGCTCCGAAATTGCAGCGAATGCCAAACACGATCATGAAGCCTATGTTAGCCAGAATGGCCAACTGCCATCGCTTCCGACAGCTGCAGCATTGCCTGTTCTCCAGCATCTGCACGTAGATCTCTTCTAGAGAATAGGAAACGAAGAGGACCTATTGTAAGCTCTAAGAAAAACGAGAGATCCAGGAACACAGACAGTGTTTGACACAAAGTTGGTTCTTCCAACAATGGATTCCATAACTTTAGACAAAGCAAAGAATCAATTAAGGCGAATAACAATGTTAATCTTTTTATTTTCTGCGTACTACAATTTTTCACGGCAGGGTATGATGTTAATTACAGCCACAGCGATGCTAAAATATCCGCCAAACTTTCCCTGACCAGATCAAACCTTGATTTCCCTTTCCGGGACTCGCGCATTACACATTGCGCCACGGAAGTCCTTGCTCTGCGTTTTTCTCAGCTAGTTTTCTACCTAACGCTGCCATCAGCGATCAAATCGGCATTGAATCCAGTTAAGCGGAGGCTGTAGTTGGAATCACAATGCTGACCTTTTTATTTTCTGCCTACTATAATTTTTCTACTAATAGATAAAAACTAACAACCTCAGCTTAACTGGATTCAGTACCGATCTGTGCTCGCCAGATCAATCCCACTGACGGGTGATTGCTGATGGCAACGCTAGCTAGAAAACTACCTGAGAGAAACGCAAGGCAAGGACCTCTGTGACGCAGTGTGTAATGCGCGAGCTCCGGAAAGGGAAATCGCGGTTCGATCTGGCCAGGGATCCAAGTTTGGCGAAAATCTCAGCATCGTTGTGGATGCAAGGCAAATCACTCGTTCTGCTAATCACATCATGAGAACAATAGTTTACTATATTACTGATTTATAAGACCTAAAAATCTCCGTATTAGTGGTAGTGAAATATGCACTTATTTCCTAAATAGACATCTAGTCAAAATTGGAGATCTCTGCAATACCACCCAAGGGGAATGTCGCAAAGGCAGAAGAGCAAGACGAAAGAACTCACCTGGAGTAGTTTGTTCGCGTGCGGTCGCATGCGGTCTGAGTTCTGATCGCAGCTGTAGAAGTCCGAACCATCCTCAGCGGCAGCGGCTTGGAACCTTCACAAAGAATAATCTCTCCAAACTATTTTTTTAAAAAGCGACAATACTTGTTACTGAATAAAAAATGAACTGAAGCCAATGAAAGCGAGAGTTAGTATCCAGCGATGATCTTGCTTCTACCGATCCATCACTATTTAAGGTTAGACCTATCATTAGCTGCGTAGACGGGCCAACGGATAGGATAACATGGTTTTTAACCTTAATATTTAAACAGTTGTTGAAACACATTCCAGCCCATCTTGCGAATACCCAGATGTTTCTGGATCGTCTACGTACTGCGCAGCCCAGCAGCGCGTACGTGATGGAGTCCTCCAACGTTACCGTCCTTTATACAAACGTGTCGAATGACTCCGCAATGCAAGCCATATGCGAACTCCTTATACAACACGAAGGAGAAATAAACATGTACGGCTTTAAGATAGAGCAGTTGATGGCGCTCTTAAAAGAATGCTTGAGCTGCTCAATCTTCAGATAGTCCGGAAAGTACTACACTCCAATGAAAGGGTTGACAATGGCACAACGACTGGCACCAAGCCTTGCCAATGCGTTTATGTCTAAGGTGGAAACACCAGTGACCGATATCGGGCCGCTACTCTACTGTAGATATATAGATGACTGTTTTGTCCTTTGCTCAACACAAGCGGAAATGGAAAAAGGTTTCGAGTTGTTAAACGAACAGTCAGAGTATACCAAGTTCACCGGAGAGAAACCGAAAGAAAACTAGCTTCCATTCCTGAACGTCCAAATTAACCTGTCAGAAAATGGCTACATTACGAAGTGGTACCGAAAGCCAAGCAGTAAAAACGTCTTGGTTCATTACCTCTCTTCTCACCCCTCTCACAAGAAAAGGGCTTGTAAGAAACATGATGTTTCGAACAGCAACCAACGTGTGCACGGAAAGAGAGCGGAGGAGTCCCGGAACTTGGCACGTCGAATAACCATTCTTAATGGCAACGAAGCCGTAGTTTGGTATAGGTGTAGGGAATTCTAGGCCGCCAAACGACAACTCTAGAGGCAACAAGGTCCCGTTTATCCTACCCTTAATTCCAAATGAAGTAAGTGTAGCTATAAAACGCTGCTTAAGAAGGGTGGGTCTAGAGAATTCGGTAAACGTAGTTGAAATGCCACCGAGTAATCTTAAGCGCCAGCTAGTTCGTAACCGCCTATATGACCGCCTATGTGCAACGCAAAATTGCATAATTTGCCCTAATAGTAGAGACCGTGATTGCATGAGCTCGGGTACAGTTTATCTGATCTCCGGTAAGGCGTGCGGAGACGAATACATTGGCGAAACGGGTAGACCACTGTGTGTCCGCATAAAAAACACCTAATCGGAAAACGTACACGAAGTACCCCACTAGGCACGCATAGGACCCAGAGACATAAGGGGGAGGAATCTGAAGTACGTGTCACGATCCTCGCACAAGAATCGAGAACACAAGCGCGCAAAACTCTCGAGGCATTCTGGAATTAATTCCAGAAATCCAAAAATGAACCGCAGAAAAGAATGCCTCATGATCACTCGTGATATTGGGCAGTATATAAACCTGTTATTCTGATGAGAGGGGCACATTACGCTTCCATGTGAATTCTGTGCGGTTGGTCTCCACGCGACATACTCAGTGGAAGCCTCATAGAAAGCGGTGAGTGTGCGGAGCTGTGTTCAATGTGATTGAAATCTTGGTTTATCGTTTTCTTTGTTTGGTTATGGAGGTGTTTGGCCGAATAGATTGCTGTCAACTTCACCTTTCCAAGCTATGAGAAGGGCGAAATCCGCCGAAACGTCACCTTCTACGTAAATGAAGAAATAAAATAACATCTCGTGTTTGCTGAACAGAAGTAGAAAGAAAACGAGGGATTTTAGCAACCAGAATTCCCTGAGCATGGAATTCGATGACAGAAAGAAGCAATGGTTCTTAAAATTTGATAAATACCCAGTCTTATCTTTTCCACTAAATAAAATTATCGAAATAGCATCTTCTTTAAAATGCTGCCATATTTTCTAGCAAAACTACAATTAAAAATCAGAAGGCAATTGAGTATCCTCGGAAAATTAGGGGCAAATGTTCCGGGCCCAATTACGAATGTTCGCGGAAGCAAGTAAGCCTAGAATGTCACACGTACTTCTGCCTGTCCGTAAGCGGTTAAGTACTGACAAGCCTTCGAATTCTTGCGCTCAAAACACGGTGGTCATTCCTGACGTGACGATTAGTGGATACAGAGAGCAGTGTCTGTAACAACTGCACAGAACTATCTATCACCATGCATTACCTTTTGTTTACTACCTATTTTTTTCGTAAAAATAAAGATAAAGGACAAACTCTCAGCGTTGATCAATCCTTGAGGGATGTGCCGTGTATTCGACTTCATCAAGCATCATTAGAGGTTATTGAGCGCAGATCTGGCCTACATGACTCTCGCGGTGGCCTACCAATGTATCGAGCCAGTGTTGCTATCCAGACAAGTCTTGTAGCAAGTTGCCGACCTCGGGGGATGGAAAGCTGGGTGAGCGTGCGGCGCGAGATCGATCACACGTTTATTGCAGGGCGTCTCTAACCATTGCGCTACACGTGTCTCTATTCTTTTCGAAGCAGGATGCTATGTGAAATACCACAAGGATGTTGAGATAACTACAGTGTTGCTGAGATATTTGCAAACCTTGGATCCGAGGCCAGATCGAACAGCGATTACCCGTTCAGGGTCTCAATTATTACGCAGGATATCACTTGGGCCCGCGTTCTGCCTTTCCCTCAGCCATTCTTTTTATCCTAACGGTGCCATCAGAAATCACCGGTCAACGGGGATAATCTGGGAAGCCCAGATCGGCATTAAACCCTGTTAAGCTGAGACTGTTGTCGAAATCGCAATATATAACAAGCTACCGCGAAAGAAATAATGAGCAGTAGCTAAAGTTATGTACTATGAGCTCGGTCTCAGCTTCAGCTTAACTGGCTCAATACCGATTTTTGCTCCATAGATCAACCCTGTTGACGGGTGATTGTTGATGGCACCGTTAGGGTAAAAAACTAGCCGAGAGAAAGGCAAAGCAAAGGCCTCAGTGGTGCACTGGGTAACACATGGTCCCACGGAAAGGATAATTCCGAGTTCGAAGCTCGGCTGGAGTACCGAGTTTTGTTCATGCCTTAGCGTCATTGTGGTTGCATCTACCATCATGATGGCAAAATCTACAAAATAACTACATCTACGAAAAACGTTGCCAAGTGCAACGTTATTACCTGACTTCTCTCATCATTGGAGAACTGTGAGCCAAAAATTCTTTTGGATCCCTGAATTCATTCTAAGTGAGCAACCGCAGTCAATATTCAATTCCCAGGTAGGATAGGGAGCAAAGATTAGAAGAATTGTCTGCTCATCTGTTCTGCGATATAGATAGATTTGAAGGATTCTCACTGTCTCCGCCACTTCAGATTGATTTATGTCGTCCACATAAATTCAGAATCATCCATGCATGCACTGTGTAGTATTTTGTGTGCATGCAGATGAAAAACCATTTGGCCATAAAGTGTGAGAACTACAATGAATGCGTCGTTTTCTCTCTCAGCAATCGCGAGGTTATTAAGCAGAGTACGTTTACTTTCATACAATAACACACAACACAACCGTGGCTGACGTTCCGGCAGAATCGTCTTCTTCAGAGCCTGGAAGGGTACACTAATACGCAACTTACTAGGTCAAACGCTTCAACAGCACAAACAGAAAGACAAGAATCTAAATGCTATTCACACGGTCATCAGCTTCTCGAAAAACCCACCGCTTTTTTACGTGCCTTCCATTGAGGAAGAGCCGCTGATCAGCGTCGTATATGGTTGACGACCGCACCTCCCCACATCAACGACCGATACGAAGGTACGGGGCGAGATCACATGTGATCTAGGGGCATTCTTCCCTGCTGTTCATTTTAGGTTTTCTAGTATTTATCCAAAAAGGCTTTATCCGCAGCACAAAAATGTGGTCTGCGAGAAATTAGAGATTTAGTTAATTGAAACAATATCAGACAATCAGTTAGTGATAAGGGAAAAAGTTTGTAGTTATTTCTAGCCAGTTAGATGTTAAGATTAAAGAGGCACATCTTAGTGATGCTACCCTTTATCGCCCATCATCTGAAAAGGAATACAAAAGGCAATAGCGAAAACGTGACAGCCAATGGGTCGAAGTGGCAAAGACAGCTGGCTTAAAACCATTTGTTATTTATCACTATAAAAAAGATATACCAACGTGTCTCGTCTTATACTTACTTATTAAAACACATAAGTTAGTATCAGCTGATGACTCACGTCAACCAACCCAACATCCTTCTAGGTAAGACCCATTACCAACTACGTAGACGGGCCAACGGAAAGAATAACCTGGTTTTTAAGCCTGATACTTACCCAGTTAACCACATTCGAGCTCACCTCACGAGCACCCAAATGTTCCTAGAACGTCTACGTAACGCGTCTCCTAATAACGCACACGTGATGGAGTCTTTTGATGTTTCTGCGTTCTTCACCAACGTGTCGAATGACTCCGCAATGCAAGCCATTCACGAACTTCTTGTTGAACATGAACGAAGAATAAAAATGCATGGCTTGTCCATCCAGCAGCTTATGGCTCTCTTAAAGGAGTGCCTTCAAACGGTCTGGGAAATATTACGCGCGAATGAGAGGGTTGACAATGGGACAGCGGTTGGCACCAAGTCTTGCCATCGCGTTCATGTCTAGAATAGAAGCCTCCGTTATCGATCTCCGGCCACTACTCCACTTCAGATACATAGATGACTGTTTTGTCATTTTCTTTACTCAAGAGAAGATGGACAACTGCTCTGAATTATTGAATGAGCAGTCTGAGTACATCAAGTTTGCCCGGGAGAAACCGAAAGAGAATTGGCTTCCATTTCTTAACGTTCAAGTGAACTTATCAAGCAGCGGTTACA